TCCCTGAGAGGCCCCCCATGACTACTCCCCCAACTCACCTTCCTACCGTCCCCAGAGTGCCGATTTCCTTCCCACCTTGCCTCTGTGCTCTCCACTGGTTATTTTCATTTGCCTGCCTCCTTCTTGTCTTTAAAGTCTCAGAGTAGGTGAGTCTTCTCCAGTGAGGGAACTAACTGCCCCTGCGCATTTCCTTCATGGCACTTAATGTACTCTGTGTCTCCTTGATTGGTGTTTGCCTTACTGGATATTATGTAAGAAAATACCATTCCCTGAAGTGGAATTTTACCACAGAAAGGAAAAACAATATGACAAAGAAATATAGCAAGAGAAGTTTTTATTTGCTCAAATTAGAAAATTCAAGTGCCGATTGCAATCCAAATACCTGTTTCATTGAGAATCCAAATATTTTAATTTTTTCTTCCCTAGATCTTACCTATCAGTTGTGTGAGAGAACATTCCTCCAGCAGTGCACTAGCCAGTAAAATATGGTGCTCAGAAATGCAATCCAGTTCTCCACATGCAGCCAGCCAGGACAGAATATGCACTGAGTCCCAGATGCTGTAGTTGCATTACCGTGGTCCCTCGTAAAACTAATCGTTGTCTTAGTAGCCATGTCACACTGTTGACTCGTACTCAAACTGATCTAGGTACTAAGGTACCTACATCTGAGCTGTCGGTTGGTTTTCTTTTCACTGAATCTCAGAGGCCAGAGTTAGATCAGTGTTATGACACACTCTTCCTTGTTTCATGCATGGCCCACTTTTACGAAGTGGTTGGTCACTTTTCAATAAAGCAGTAAGTACCTGCATGATGGTACCTGTTCTGTCAGGCTGTATGTAAACTTTCAGGGCTTACTTTTTTTCTCTTCATGTTATATTACTAAGAATCATCTGGTCATCAGTGTGGTGGTGTTTTTTTTGGAGGGGTGGAGGGCATGTACCTTGTTTCATTGTAGGGGGTGCATGCACCTTGTCTCCAGGTTGGGCTTTGGTGGACGGCACTGCTGTGTACATCATATGTAGGCCTCCTGTGTACTTGTGCAATGGTTGGTCTTGTGTGTACACCTAGGAATGGACTTGCTGGGCCACAGAGAATGTGAACATTCACCTTCAGTGGGTCATAGCTATTTTCCAAATTACCACCCCAGAAAAGTATGAGAGCCTAGATCTCTTTCAAACAAATTGTTCAACCAAGTCTTTGCCATCCTCCTCCTATGAACTTGCTCTTATCACATCTAAATGCAGAAGTTTCCATTTATCCCTCTTCGTTGTCAGCTCTGGTTTAGACTCATTCTTCTGGACTGTTGAGATTACCTTCAGTCCTGCTTCTGGCATCCTTAATATTAACTACCTTCCCCAGCTTCGTAAAATCTTTAAAA